TGTGTGTGTTTATTTATGCTCTGCTCGGACTCTAACATTCTGTCCAAGTTCTTGGCCACCAACCAGACTAAGGGAGGTGATGGCGTCAGTCATCCACTCTGGACTTACTGTGCACCCAGCAGGCTGATAAGTGACCGTGGACATTGGCCTTTGACACTGGTCTGATTTCGATAGATCAGGAAAAGGCTTGAGGTTGAGCATCAGTATCTTTGGCAGACCTGAGATGTTTTGGTTTCAGCCCATTGTTCACAGCCAAGATCAAGGTTCTCTGTAGTGACATCATGAGTGTTCTGAAAATCAGGCATGCTTTACTCTTTAGCCCTTGACCCTCTGCTCCACAAGCTCAGAGGTAATCTGAGTGGTGTTTCCTTTCCTGGCTGCAGGATTCCCTTTTAAACTGTCAGCATATGCTGATGATGTCATCACCATGGTTAATAATCAAAGAGACATCAACACTTTAATAAACACTGTAAATAGTTTTGGTTGTATTTCCTCTGCTGAGGTAAACTGGGAGAAGAGCGAGGCAGTGCTGGTCTGGGACAGGCTGAGGGATCAGCTCAGGCTACCAGGAGGCTTGATCTGGATAAAAGGAGGTTTTAAGAATCTGGAAGTCTTTCTGGGAAACAATACTTTTTAAATGAAAAACTGGAAAAATGTACTGGAAAGGGTCGAAAGTCGTCTGCTTTTTGCCTCAGGTTTGATCAGAGGCTGGACCAGAGACTGGACTAACTGACCTGGCACGGCGGCCTCAGTCTTGCTGCATCCTGAGGTGTGTTGATGGTTTGGGACTGGACTTAACACTGTTTCTTGTGGACCATGGGAAGCTGAGCACTTTGTCAGACTTTTATCCAAGCCTATTTTCAGCGTGGTCTTTTCTGAAAAAGCAAAGAGAGGAGCAGATGGCCTCTCTGTACTGGCTTTTACATGAACCGGTACCGAATGGACAGCATCTGGATTGTCCCAGCTGGGGTGGATCTACTGACCAGAACACTTCACTCTGCAGGGGTTTCCATACTGGAGCAGGTGGTGAAGCTGACTGGACCTGGGTTGGACAATCCTGCATGACTAGCCTGGTCACCAGAGACATTTGTTTTTGTTTCTTCATGTTTTTGTCACGTGTCAGAAGCTCATCACGCCCCTCCCCTCATACTCCCTCAGTGACTCAATGGAGGACGCTCTGCTGTGTCCACACTTCTCCTGTATTTAGACTTTATACAGGAGTGAAGGAGGAGACAGACAAACTAAGTCTCACTCTGACATTTGAGTTCATCCACCGGAGAAGATCCAGAGGAACTCAGGAGTTCTGTGTGTCTGAAAGCATCTTCACAGTTTGTTAAACCTGTTTAACCAAAGTTTACTTAGTTGGTTTCTTTAACAGCACAGAGCTGACCACATCCACCGGGGGGCGACAGAGATTAAAGATGGACAGTTCAGTTCTGTTACATCACTCACAGAGGTGGGAAGCACAACTATGTTGTTGCAGTATTTATGTCGATTTTCAGGTGTCTGTACTTTACTTGAGTGATTATTTATCCGACAACTTTTTACTTTTACTCACTTACAGTTGAGGGGATTTTATCATCGAGCACCACCTTTCCAACACCAGGATAGATTTCAACCTAAATGGACAATAAAACAGATAAAATGATTCCTTGTTCTGTATCTATCAGTGCAGATCAAGCACAACATACAAAACATGGCGTGAAAGACATCAAGATAAAACAGACATGAATGGGACAGCACATATGTCCGTGACAAGAAGTAAGCACATGGAAGAAAGTGAAGAACTGGCCAACATTACTGATAATGTTGATAACGTCTACAACGAAGCAGAGCAACACATCTTTTTATCCCTGGCCTTATTTAAACTTAATCCAGTACATGGTATACGTTTTCTTCTGTGCTCAAAAATCTTTTCTTGTTTCAACTATATAAGTTAATTGTTTTTTTAATTTATTCAAAGTAAGAATTGTTCAATGGTTAGATAATATTCTAACTATATTAATGTGACATCTCAGTTTGCTTTGCACCGATATAGCAGGGAGAACACTTTTTACATTTACACTTGAGTACATTTCAGAACCTGTACTGTAATACTTTTAATTGAGTAAATAATGTCTGTACTTTTACCACCTCCGATCACTCAGTCACTGATTAATACATCAAGTA